ATGGACCCAGTTGAACCACTCACCTGCAAATTGTCTTCGCCTTCTGTGAGTCATTTCATACCTTCTGTGCTTTGCATTAATAGCCATGGTGGTCTCCAGACGCCTTACATTGTACCTTAACAAAGGCATACTCCTGACCAGCTGCAAAAATGTATCCTCTTATTCTATTACCCTTTAGACCAATGTCTAAAAGAAGACATTTTTTGTTCCATTTATTTACTCCCTTGACTTAAATAAAAATGACCAAGTAATGCCACTTGCCCGTCTTTCCTATTCTTAAAGAACAACATTGTAACACTTCAGTTCTGGATATTTCTAGACTAAAAGGCCATTTACACAACACCTAGCACTATATAGACCCAAGGAAAGCCAAACAAGAAAAACTAAATCAAGACCGGCTATTGGCTACCACTCCCTGTTTTTCAAAGTGTTATTACTTAGTCTCTTCCAACAATCCAAAAGAAAAGTCCATGCAAGGCAAAACCAAAGACAATAGGTAGAGCCAATCAGAAAATATGACCATGTGAACAGGACCAGGGAAGCCTCTAAAAAAGTAATATTCAAATTGTACTTGTTATCGACCATCGCGCATTGTAGTACATACTGAGAATTTGAGTATAAAAGTGCATTCTGAACACAAACTTTCCAGTCGTTGAAAGTCGAAGAACTGACACAAAGCAAACAGTAAAAAGCTGAATATTACCTTTGAAGATAGTAAGCATCTATAAGGAAAAAAAACCCAGCAGTTTCCATGGACAGAGAAACCAATGACAGAGACAGATCATATTCACAAAATTCTAACGGTTGAAAGGCAAGGACAAAGACAACAACACCACCATCATAACATCAACAATGATTGTTTCGGACACCAAGTACCGTTCTCAAAATCATGTGAACATGTACCTCGGAGGCTTGGTCTGCAAGCTTTTCTACTGTATCTTCTGTCACTTGCATTTTTCGCAAGCATATATTGCAGTCGAAACATGCTAGCACTCAACACAGGTATTCGTCTGATCAACTGTTGATGAGACACAGTAAACATAAATGTTGTCTGTGCTTGAAAAATGCCTTCGCTAACAAAGAAATTTACTCCAAACAGATGTTACCTCTTCATAGTTATTTAAAGGTACAAACCTCTTGCTTTCAAACGGCGTGTCGAATCTGCTTTACGGTCACGAACACTTTTAGCAAGATAGCCACTTACGAAAGGGATGTTAAGTCTAAGAACAGGAAATCTTAATAACATCTGAAAATGTATTTGTCGAATTAGGATGAGAACAAATTTATACCAAAGTCTTGAAAAATAAGAGCTCATTGCCTGGCACCTGGAGGTATCTGGTGAAACAACTCAAAAGTCACACGGAAGTGCATTTCATATTTTAGCCTCAGAATTTATACTGACAGTTATTTTCTAAACTGACCTTTCAAACGTCGAGCTAGATTTGCCCTCCTGTCCTGCGCAGTTTTAAGCAAATAAAAACTTGACAATTTCACATTAAATTTCAGCAACGGCAGTCTTGAGACCAGCTGTCAAAACGAAAATAAAAAATATGAAAAAATAAAATTCTGCAGGATACACCCAAGTTTGCAGACATTCATGCCAAGAGCATTTCTGAACAACAGTTGGTGCCTCAAGGCAAAATTTTATCTTGGATGTAATCAAAACATGACTGCCACTTCTCAGAGAGTAGAGACAAGAAGTCAAAAAGTGATATGAATACCGAGGATCCAAAAATGACAAGCTGATCAGCATAATTAGATAAAAAATAATAACCAGAAATAATTTTTTTTAAAAACTGCCTAGGGAGATCAAGACAATTCTACCATCCATACCACCAAATGGAACCATTATATATCTACTCAAGGTGCCAGAAGGAACCATGGACACAGAAAACTTCATACGGCCTTTTACCTACCTTGATTTCTGCGGCTGTAACTACTTCGCCGTGCTGTCCTCACTCGAAGCATCCAACTGACATAATTTACATTGGCACGCAGAACTGGTAACCGACGCAACAACTGTGGCAACGTGATACACAAGAAAAATTCCTAATTCTATCCCATAAGTCAACTTACATTAAAAAAACAGGCACTTTCTCAATCCCGTGCCAGCAGTGAAACTAGATGTGCTCGAGGGCCAGCAGTTAGTGAACTTTTGTAATGTCCAAACCAAAGAGACTTTTCAGCTTCTGCAGGACTCACCATCTGATCTTTTGTTATTGAGGAACTGAACAAAACTCTCTGAACCTTGACCTCCAAATATAAAAGTTAACCGCGCACGGTCAAAGGAGGTGAAAGAAATATTTTGAACCCTGAAAGTTTTGAAAATACACTTACAACCATTTTCTCTTTGTTTACAACATGCCAAAGCAGATCACTGGGAGATCACAATACATGACATACAGGGATTACCCCAGGGCTTTTTACATACCTCGATTTCTGCGGTTGTAATTAGTTCGCCAGGCGGTCCTTACTCGAAGCAAATAACTCACATGTTCCACATTTGCACGAAGAAGTGGTAACCGTCTCAACAACTGACAACGCAATTCATAAGGTTTTTAATTGTTGCTTAGGTTTTACCAAGCTTCATTATCCTTAAAAAATCTGTTTCATATGAAGGTGCTAGCAGTGAAACAATTCCTTAGCTCAGCAACCAACAGACACATGAACATGGACAAAATTAATATTTCTAGTTACTTTGATAGAGAAAGCACATTTTAACTCAGCCATACTGTTACAAGAAAAACTTAAGAGCTTTTACAAGACATTGGCTGACCCGACAGAAAAACCAGGATAAATTCCAAGAAGATATTTATCAGTGAATTTCATGTTTTGATGCGGCTCACTTATTAAAAACTTCCCAAGACAGAAACTAACATTTCGTCTCATCAGAGGAAAAGGTCCTTAATGTATTTCTAAAAATATGAAAAACACCCACAAGAAAAAAATTTAAGGATCATGCACCCAAAAAGTGTTGTGGCTGTAGCGAAATCACAAACCTTGAAATTTCTTTCTTTTTCGATAATGAATCTCTGCTGATCGAGCACTGAACAATGAAGTCACTCGCAAGGTGTCGTATCGAAGCAAAGGGAGGCGTGAGAAGAGCTGTTAGAGTGATACATGCTTTACTTGAGACCATAAAGCCGATATTGAAACCTACTTGCTTGAGGAATGCACAATAAATGAACTCAAAAGCCAAGTAGCAGAGCATCTAGCATCCTTAATGATCCAAAGTTCAAAGTAAACAAGACCTTCCTAGAACACTATTCACATCTTACTTATCAAAACAACCTGCCAAATACAAAGTAGGCAACTCAGAACTCTGAAATCAACACCTGAACTATAAGATGACAAAAATATCCTCCCCACAATATTAAGCACTGAAAGCAACCCCTACCCTCCACCTCCTGAAATGGATCCAAGGCACTGGTCTCGACTAGGTGATATAAATTGCAATGTGTGACTGAAATTTTTCTAAGGAGGCAACTGGCAAAACAAAACATGACTAGAACATCAACAAGAATAACGGAGACCACGTGAAAGCATTAGTTTTTACGTATAGTAAGTTTTACAGCGCTTGCAATTGTGAAAAACGAGTTCATTTGCTTAAATTTTTAAAAAACTTTTTACTTAGAAATAGCTCAAAATATTTTAAAATACTAGAAAAAGCATCAAGTGCTATGAGACACATATAGTCCATCAAAATCAATGGCAGACTTATGACTGTTAATTGCACAGTTCAAGTCAATGTCTCTGCTCAGTAGCAGTAAAAATGAAGGTGCTGCGGTGAAATGGGTGACACCTTTACAAAAATCCTTCCTCAATAGTTACCAGAACAAGTTTAGCAAATTCCATGAGGTACACCAAGACCCAAAATACACCCCTTTAAAAAATCCTTCTTGGCTGAAGGTTGGGTTACAAAGAAAACTTGGACATAAATCATTTGGAAGCATGTTTTTTTTTTATCATCGCTCTAATTTGACAGGTTTGACAGGGGGGGAAAAATATATAATGTACGCATCATGTATGTGGGCGTTGAAAAATTCAAAAGATGAAGATTTCCATTGTACCTCTCTTCTTTGCCTCATGATTTCTTGACCAAGTATTGTAACAAAATCTCGCTGAAACCCTTTTCACATCATATTGCAAAAGCGGCAGACGATGAAACAACTGTCGAACAAGGATAGGTTGTGTTACGACATATGTGTTACAGCACTGCCAACACAGAAATGTCCGATGGAGCTTCAACAATGCTGTCAATCAATGCAACAAAGAACAGGGTAAACCCCACCCCAGGACAGGACGTGTCTACACTTATCTTAACTGGGCAAAAGACATCTTTTGTGAATAAAAAAGAATAGAAGAAAAGAATATCTGGTGCTGAGTGAACTCACTATTGAATTAATATGCTACAATCACTCCAAACCTTGCATTAGTCCAACTAAAAACCAAGTATGTGCTCTCACTCCTTTCTTCATTGTTAGCACAACTGATTTTAGAGCATAAACTCTGTACTCACTCTACAATACCGAAGCACTGAGTCTGTCCAAAGCAACAACATGCCCGTGCACTAACTTTAATATCAAAACAGCCATCATCATGTGAAATTCAGGACAAGCAAAACGGAAATCCCTTTGGATAGATCAAAGAAAAATCTCCCAAGAGTCCAGCAACTATTGCAAGACAAAAACATACTGATACGGAGGTTCATCACATTTGGAACCAACAACAGGATATGACAACTTATGAATATTTCAGATTATCAGGACTGCGTGTCAAGTGGAAAATCAAATGTTGCACACCCCACCCCTCTTTTAGAGTTCCATTGACAGCACAAGAATGAACAAATCAGAGAAAATAATACTTTCCTCTGACTGAGCTGGTTACAACTGTCTGCCTATGTACTGAATCATATACATATACACAAGAATTACTGCAGTTCATTGCACTTGCTCTATCAAGAGAAAAAATTTCTAGTCGGGTGACAATGAGAAGCCTACCTCTCCTTCGACATCTCCAGAGTGACCTCCTTTCTTCATAGCGAATTTCAGCTGTTCTTGTGCAGAATTTTGAAACCAAACGACGTATGTGAAGTCCCAGAATTGGTTGGCGATTCACTAGCTGTGTACAACACAAATAATCACAACCCCAAAACTTTATAAGTTCAGTCTTTCAAATTTCTAACTTGGTGCCATGCAAGGAAATTTACAATGTTTTCAGATGAAAGAGCTGTAACCAACCAGTCCATGTACCAAGATTAGCTTTTGGTCAAAAGTAGATAATTCTACAGAAAAATATCCATTGAGCTCTATACAGTAACAGAGTCCACGCCAATGTACTACTGAAATGTCCCGATCAGTCGTTTTTTATCAAGGCCCAAAAACAGGAATATTAGCTACCAGCTGCCAAATTCAAGAAAGGAGCAAATTAAATACTCCAGGAGCCCAATAACAACTAAACAGAGGGAGGGAAAGTCCTGTACAGACTTTTGCGAGACAAGAGACCTACTTGATGTATATGCCAGAACAGAACAGCATTATGCCTGCTGCCAACACAAAACAGAATTAAGCCTACAGATCCTTGCACCATGTAAGATGTAAACCTGTCAATGAGTCAGAATTGGAGCCTCATAAAAAAAAGAAAGAAAGATAGCAACATTTACAATAATTTCCTAAACAATACTGGCACAAACAGCGCTGAATGAGCGAATGCACATATCCACCCACACACTCAAAGCCAATAGGACAACAAATCTCCAGGAGATACAACCTGCTATTATTGTTCCAACTGCCCGCCCAAGCATTCTGATTATCTTCTCTAATTCTAAAAGACCACGGTATGATCATTACAATATTTGTTTTAATCAGTTGAACTACAGAAAGACACAAGTAAATCTAGACTTACACATCCTTCGAGCTTTAAATCGGATATCCTTTACTCTGGTACAAAATGCCCAGACCAGTCGACTCTCGTCCAGGCCTAAAATAGGAGTACGAGCCACGAGCTGCCAAGTTAGCAAAGGAGCAAAGCTAAACAATGCAGTAGAGACTTGTTACATTTAAAATGTCAAAATGTTCTGCGATGCCACACAAGAGAACAGATTTATGCCCAGATCAGTGGAAAAACATTATCACTATTCAGATGCCAGCAGCCTGAGGTTAATAAAAAACTTGAAAAATTTCTAGTACCACTTAAAGTGCCATAAAATAGTGGACAATAGGAAAGAGGTTTTACAATACACATATCTATACAGATATAAAACACTTTTGTGTGTAGTTTTTACACTGTTAAAGCAAAATGAACTACAAGACAGTCTTTGTGTTGACAACATTTAAACATTCAATGGTCACGAGTCTTCAAAACCCGGCGTCACCAAATCCTTATACCTGAGCCCCTCGGATAGAGGTAGACTGGAATACATCTCTGGGACTTGCAAACGAGGACATATTCAGACACACACACACAGAGGGCAGAGGAAAGTAAACAGCTAATGAAGAGGTCAAACAAGATTCAAATGAAGATCTCAGCTGGAGCCCATTCAAGGGTCTTCATACACCAGAGCATGTTGACCGTCAGAGAACAGTATTTCCTTATAAAACCCAGCAGGTTGCTTACAGTGACCACTAATGGAGAATCCAAGGGCATTCTATAATACAAACAAGCAAATTACCTTGTATCATAGATTGAACTGAAAACTTTAGAAAACCCAAATCCCATTCTAATTTTTAACGAAACATGTCACGTGTGCAATTTGCCAATGAACGGTAGCTCCCTAGTATTACACTTACGCATCCTTCGAGCTTTAAATCTGATATCTGTAGTCCTGGTACAAAAAACTTTGATAAGTCGATTTTCATCCAGGCCTAAAACAGGAGTGCGAGCCAAGAGCTGCCAAAATCAGCAAAGAAACACATTACAACAGACCTATTACAATTAAACTGACTAAATGCAAAGAATTTGGTTGGTTGAGTAAAGAGAAGCACATCGACACAATAATGGTCATTTAGTGCTGGGGAAAAAGTAAGACAGACAGAAACAAAAGAGGGAAAGTAAAGAATTAGGAGCTACCAGCGGCGCCCTACAAACCACCCGCAGTGCAAAGAATGGTGAAGGTAGCAACAAGATCTCATTCAGATCAGCAACACTTTATTGAATTACTGAATGCCAGGATAGCTAAACTGTTAAAACTGCACATACCAAAACACAAAATGGGACACCTGCGATAGGCGAGACAGGGAGGAATCACTGAGCTGACATTGCAACTACAACTCGTAAGGTCACCAAAAGTAACAATTGATCTCTTGTCTACAAAACTCACCTGATTCTCGAGCTTTTCGTCTCCTATGCCTTATGCCTTGGGCTCTAATGCTAAATGTTATCTCCAGACGTCTTATGTCATGTTGGAGAATGGGCAAACGGGACTTTAACTGTATAACAGACAAATATTTTGTCCATCATTTTAAAATATTCAGAAACTACTGTGTCAGCAGTGTTCATCTTGCAACAGGTCAAAGAATATTCCTAAAAAAAATTCTTAAACAAGGTTCTGGCCATTTTTGTCATTATTCATTTACTGGCTTATTTTCACAGGCTTTATTTCACCATTTTCCAAATGCTGAGCGACTAGAAGATCCAGGTTTCAAAAATATGTGGCCCAGCTAGAATTCACAAAACAACACAGGAAAAGAATAGAAGTGAAGACAATTGCTGAAAATAAAGCAACCAAATATCCAACTCAAAGAGCAAATGCTCATGGCAATAACCACCAGCATATACTGGCAGGAAAAAACTATTCTGTCACTCTATACCACAGTGATCTCTTTCATTTCAGACTACAGATAGGCTCCTGAATGGTAAGTGACTACGGTTTACAAAAACATTCCTAGGATACATGATCTCTCACAATCAGATCTATCTTTATAAACCACTTATTAGGGAGAAAACAAGGGAAAAAAGGAGACCAACCCCCCCCCCCCCCCCAAACAAAACCTGCAGTTTTCAACAAAACCAACTGCCTACTGTTGGTCAACTACAAAGCAATGGGGTTTATGAGACGGAACCGAACACCTTTCCAGATCACACATTTGAAAGGACTCACTGAACATTGAACAGATTTCAAGTCCTTAGGAACAAATTCCTTAACCTACCTCTTCGACGAGCCACACGAGCTTGATAACGAAACTCTGCACATCTAGCAGCAAAGTAAGCTTCAAAACTTGGGTGCTTTTGAACTATGGGCAAACGACTCAGCACCTGACAAGCATAGATTGTAGTCAGACTTCGTTTATTTGGACACAACCATTTCTACGGCTTCACAGAGTTCAAGCTTAACATACACAGTACAAAATAAAGAGCCTTCCACAACAAAAATATGACCATGTCAGAATAATCAATAATCAAGTGATCTCAAGATGATTTTGGTAACAAGCTGCTTAAAAAAAACATATTTTGTTGCAACACTGTGGTGGTATATTTCTTCAGTTTAGTCCAGACCCCTGTACCGTATCCTCAAGTTAAAAAATTGGTAAGACAGGAACACTATGATACTTGCAACACCACAATGCCTCAGATAGGTAGGAAAGCAGATCACCAGTTATGGAAATGGAACAAGAAACAGAAAACTACACCAGAGAAAAACTTTAGCCATCTGCATGGAGAACAACAAGAGTCAAAATAGACGACAACCAATCCTCAGAACGGACAATAAGTTCAATATGCATTTTACATTCAAGATCCATAAACACCATATACAAGGAAAGCCATGTAAATTTACACAAGGGAGTTCTTTTTAAGTGTATCATTTCACTGCAATTGTAGTCAAGACTTGACTCTCCAAACAAGATTTGCCACCCAAAAGTTTGCAATGTCATAAAAAACTATTAACGAGGTTTTTTGTACTATTTTTTTTTTAATATCGACCGCAAAAATATGTTTATAAGGACTTTAATAATTTTGTTTTCACACAGTTCAGTCAGGCAAAAACATACACCTGGGAAAAAAGCAAACAGCTAAGACAGTCTTCAACCACTGCAAAGTACTGTTCCAGAACATAATAATTATACAGGAAGGGGATTCAAACTTTTTTAAAAATGTGATGAAAAAAGTGCTTCTCAATAACAACAAACCAAACATCTTCATCAGGTCTCTCACCTTTCAATCTATTTCTCAAATCAAACATCCTCTTGCGAGTTCGAGACAAGAAAATAGGAACGACTCGGTGAAGATTAGATCTGAGTAAGGGCAGACGAAGACAGAGCTGCAGAAAAAAAATAAAATGCAGACCACAGAATATGCCATGCTCCGTGCTCCAGTAATCCCACGGAAACAACCATACCTTAATAGGACAATTATCACAACTGCTGATGCTGTGGTACAAGCACAAAAGATTCACATATTTCTATTAACATCTTAATTCTACACCATAACTAAAGAAATTTCAAAGGAATGAAATTTGGTAGTTGCAATAAGACAGGCAAACCTCGACGCTTCTGGGAAGATCTTCTAACTCTAGCTGTTTGACAGAACAAAAGCTCTGCACGCTGGATACAAAGCCCAAGCACTGGAAGCCTATGTAACAACTGTGAAGTGACAAGAGAGAGAATATCCTCAAATGGGACCAACCTTGACTAAAACAAGAATTTCATCAATAACTTTCAGAATAATGTGTGCAGTGGTGAACAGAAGAGTGGCCATGACTAAATTAAACTGTACAGTTAATCTCTTGACTACTTCAACACAAGGGAACAGATTATTTCTTTTTTTAAAAACTATTGAGGCCTTTTAACAGATGAAACGTGAAGTGCGACCTACCTGCCATTTTTTTTGCATATCGTCTGCCTTTGGCTCTGGCAGCCATAAGCCAGCGGAGGCGCTTTGTGTCAAATCCCAAAATCGGGCGCCTTCTGATCAACTGATACATAAATAAGGCAAAGGGGCCAATGTAAAGATAGCTCACAAGATAGAGTGGTGAGAAACATCACTGGAAAAGCAGCCCTTGACAAAGTGGTAATCAGACTGTAATAAGTAAGTCCAGATGATAAGATTATTACCCCAATCAAGGTGGAGAATTTTGTGCTGCACCAAATATCAAGCTCCCTTTTGAATTTGTCAAGAACAGTTTC